TGTCATTTTTTGACTTTTTAATAATAACAATTATTAAGACATAGTTCTTGGGCCCAGGCATGGTGAGTCATGCCTGTAATCTCAGCACTTTGGGAGGCTGAGGCAGGCAGATCACCTGAGATCAGGAGTTTGAGACCATCCTGGCCAGCATGGTGAAACCCCGTCTCTACTAAAAATACAAAAAGTTAGCTGGGCATGGTGTCTGGTACCTGTAAGCCCAGCTACTTAGGAGGCTGAGGCAGGAGAATCGCTTGAGCCTGGGAGGTGGAGCTTGCAGTGAGCCGAGATTATGTCACTGCATTCCACGCTTGATGACAGAGTGAGACTCTGTCTTAAAAAAAAAAAAAAAAAGGATAACAGTTCTCATACAAGTCATACAATACAGTTCTCAACCAATATGTCTGTTGGGCAACCATCATCAAAATCAATTTTAGAACATTTTCATCACTCCAAAAGAAACCCTATGCTGGTTAACAGCCACCGCCTGTTCTCCCCCAGCACTCCCCAGCCCAAGGTAACCACTAATCTACTTTCTGTGTAGATTTACTTACTCTGAACATTTCACATAAATAGAATCATATAACATGTGGCCTTTGGTGTCTGGTTTCTTTCACTTTAAGTTTTCAAGGCTCATCCATGTTGTAGCATGTATCAGTACTTCATTCCCTTTTCTAAAAAAAAATTCTTTATTTTGGTTAAATATACATAATATAAAATGTATCATCCTAGACATTTTTTAAGTATATAGCTCAGGGCTATTTAGTACATTTATATTGTTATGCAACCATCACCACTATCCATCTCCAGAACTCATTTAATCTTGCAATCCTGTCACTCTACCCATGAAACACTAACTCCCTGTAACCCCTTTCCCCCAACCCCTGGCGCCTACTGTTCAGCTTTCTGTCTCTGTCATTTTGCCTACTCTATAATGCATTCATTCCTTTTTATTTCTGGGTAGTGTTCCATTTTATATATCCACCTCAGTTCTTAACTCTGCAATTAACAAGTTCTTTTTTGTACCTGGGATCCACAGGGAAAGGAAACTTTTATACACAAGCAAACTTAGATACATTTGAAAAGCCAGCTAAGTACATATTTTGAAAACCAAGGGAATAATAATAAAGTAAAATATGCATTGTATATTTGTCTGTTTTCACGCTGCTGATAAAGACATACCAGAGACTGGGAAGAAGAAAAGTTTTAATTGGACTTAATAGTTTCACACGTGTGGGGAGGCCTCACAATCATGGCAGGAGGCAAAAGGCACTTCTTTGTTTTTTGTTTTTTCAATTTTACTTTACGTTCTGGGATACCTTTGCAGAACCTGCAAGTTTGTTGAAAGGTACTTCTTACATGTGGTGGTGGCAAGAGAAAATGAGGAAGAAGCAAAAGCGGAAACCCCTGATAAACCCATCAGATCTCCTGAGACTTATTCACTATCATGAGAATAGCACGGGAAAGACCGGCCCCCGTGATTCAGTTACCTACCATAGTGTTCCTCCCACAACACATGGGAATTCTGGGAGATAAAATTCAAGTTGAAATTTGGGTCAGGGCACAGTTAAACCATATCACATTGGAAAAGATTCAAAAATATATTTTTAGCACAAAGGAAGTAATAGCAAACAAGGTAACTATATATTAGAAAAGTCCTATTTAGAAGAGTCATTGTATTTTTTCAGAGATTCTTAGCCTTTAGCATATATGACATCAAGGTTTTTTGTTTTTAATTATAGAGGGCTGATTTCCCTAATACGTCTTTTTCTCTGGTTGCTTTTAAGAGTTTTCTCTTAATCACTGGTTTTCATGTTTGATTTTTTTTTTTTATGTCTTCAAGGGTCTGAATGTTTAACAAATGT